GTCACTCTAAACTCTGGTCTTACTGAAATAATGAGTGGTGATGAGATTCAGTGGAGGTTTTGGATTGAAAACACCTTAATAGCTGAAATCAATAAACGGGCTGACAGCATGACTGTATATGAGGATGTTCTTGATGGGAGATTCAGAGACAGACTGAAGCTGGACAATCAAACTGGATCTCTGACCATCACACACACCAGAATCACAAACTTTGGATTTTATTATCTATATAGCAATTATATTAAGGGGATTATGTTCTTTCTCAATGTCCATTGTGAGTTAAACATGAATTCAAATTTTTAGTTTAAAGATGTTTTAAGCCACAAGTCTGTTCTGTTGCATAATATTATTAATTTCAAATTTAAATATCCATTTACTTTCATAAACCATCCTACATTTGCTCAACAGTATTAATCTGTGACAAACCCTGTTTGTTTTGTGTGTGTGTGTGTGTGTTTGGTGATCCAGATGAAATATCAGTGATGGAGGGAGATTCAGTCACTCTGAACTCTGATGTTACTGAAATGAGTGTTGTGATTCGCTGGGGGTTTGAAAATCAAAAGGCTTTAATAGCTGAAATCTATAAACGGACCGACAGCATGACTGTGAGCGTGTCTGTTCTGTTGCATAATATTATTAATTTCAAATTTAAATATCCATTTACTTTCATAAACCATCCTACATTTGCTCAACAGTATTAATCTGTGACAAACCCTGTTTGTTTTGTGTGTGTGTGTGTGTGTTTGGTGATCCAGATGAAATATCAGTGATGGAGGGAGATTCAGTCACTCTAAACAATCGTCTTACTGAAATACTGAGTGGTGATGAGTTTCTGTGGTGGTTTTCATATACTAAAATCACTTTCATTGCCATAATCGATAAACCGACCGACATATTTGATGTATATGATGATGTTCTTGATGGGAGATTCAGAGACAGACTGAAGCTGGACAATCAAACTGGATCTCTGACCATCACAAACATCACAATGAAACATGCTGGAGATTATGAACAAATGACTAAAAAACTGACTGCGATTTTCAGTCTCACTGTCTATGGTGAGTGTATTATTGGTTTCATTTATTTATTGCAGCATTAAAGTAAATCTAAGGAAGTATCTAATTACTTAGAATCACAAATCAGCTTTTTTAGTTTTATATTTAACTTTCTATTAAATCGTTTTTAAATGTTATTCTTTTGATCATTCTTGGTTCCTCTCAATGTTTCTTCCTCATCTGCTTGAATATCTTCATTTATCTTTATTTCTCTTTTATTTTCAGCTCGCCTGCCTGTTCCTGTCATCAGCAGTAACTCTTCAAACTGCTCTTCATCATCATCATCATATTGTTCATTGGTGTGTTCAGTGGTGAATGTGGTGAATGTGACTCTCTCCTGGTACAAAGGAAACAGTTTATTGTCCAGCATCAGTGCGTCTGATCTCAGCATCAGTCTCTCTCTACCTCTGGAGGTGGAATATCAGGATAAAAACAGCTACAGCTGTGTGCTCAACAATCCCATCAGCAACCAGACTCAACATCTGGACATCAGTCAACTCTGTCACACATGTTCAGGTACAGCAGCTGATATTAGTTGATGTCGGCGCTGATATTAATGTTTATTGACTGAGCTGATCTCAGTTTGATGTTTTTATTCCTCAGACTCTGTCCACTGTTGTGGTTCTACTGAAGCTGTGATCCGATTGGTCCTCTCTGCTCTGGTGGGCGTGGCTACTGTCATTCTTCTGGTTTATGACATCAGATCCAGAAGAGCTGAACAAGATCAAGCACATATTCACACACCAGGGATATGATTGATGTCATTTCTCACTAATTGTTTTGCATATGTAAATATTTGTGAGATTACTTAATTTATAGCTTTATATGTCCATCTTTTTTCAGGAAGTATTGAAATCTAAAGCAGAAAGCTCATGCTCTGTCAGTTTTTTTTATAGTGTCTGAGTTTTTAAAATGCAGTTTGAAAGGCATTATTGTTTATATTTTTCTCAGATAAGACACACAGATCTCACTTTACTACTGCTGTCCATTGCCATGTCTATCTGCTTGTCTATCAATAAAGTTTTTTAATGCTTAAGAGTCTCTTCATGTTTTTTTTGCACCTCCTGGAGGAATTCAGAAGTTTAGCAGAGCATGCCATATACAGCTTTACACTATTAATACATGATTTGTAAATATTTACATTATTAAGCACATTCTTCTACTATTACTACCAACAAATAAAAAAATTAAGTTATTTGGCTACCTCTGTTAAATTTCTCATTCTGAAATTCAAATTAGAATGACATTTAAGCTAGTTGAATTACAAAACTGCATAATCGTTAATAGGAATACCATTTCCTAAAGAAAGAAAGCGTATTCCAAATCTCTTTACTTACAAAACAACCCTTAATCTCTCTTTATTTGGGAGAGAAAACCAAATGTGATTCACTACTAGCCTCTGTAGTGAACTGGTAGTTTTATTATGTGATGCCTGTTACGTCTGAGAATAGCTCCACTTTGTGTCTGGATCAGATAGAATGTTTAGTGTACAGGCTGAATGTGAAAGTGTATGGTGTCCTATACTCGGAATTTGTGCTTTGTATTAAACCCATCCAAGTGCACACACACAGCAGGGAGTAGTGAACACACCCGGTTGGGGGTTGGGGGTTTTGGTGCCTTGCTTAAAGGGTTAGTTCACCCAAAAATGAAAATTAGGCTGCGTTTTACTCACCCCAGAGGCATCCTAGGTGTATATGACTTTCTTCTTTCAGACGAATCCAGTCAGAGTTTCGTGTGAGACACTTATTTATGGATGGGTGATTTTTATTTAAGTTCTTTTGGACTGATGCATGCAACACCAGCTGAGTGGCATTAAACAGCTTGAAAGATCAAAGACAATTTTTTATATAACTTCGACTGGATTCGTCTGAAAGAAGAAAGTAATATACACCTAGGATACCTCGGGGGTGAGTAAAACGCAGCCTAATTTTTAGGTGAACTAACCCTTTAAGGGTCTCACCTCAGTCATGGTATTGAGGGTGGAAGAGAGCGCTGTTCATTCACTCTCTACACCTACGATCCCCACCGGTACCAAGACTCGAGCCCACAACCTTCCGGTAACAAGTCTGACTCTCTTACCATTAGGCCACGACTGCCCCTTTTGAAATGTTTCTCATGAACATCCCCTGCAATTGAACTATCACACCAGGAATGGAAGCCCATACTGGGAATTTATTCTGAGTATGGGCTTCCAAGCGTTGAATCCTCAGAGGCCATGGAGTGGAAACACTGACATGTCTCCTCTGGTTGTGTTTAGTCAGCAGGCACAATGCGCTTCTGACACCATGTCACATATACACACACCAGGTATATGTTCTCTTGAGGTTTTGAGAAAAACAGCTCATCAGAGCCTCACATACAATGCATCACTGGTAAAAAAGCTAAATGTCATTCACTCAATGTAGTGTGAGCAGCTCAGTTTGTGAGTTAAAGTTGAACCTGCTGTGGTCTGATTTATCTATATCTAATGTGGTTTGGTCTTTTGGTGGACAAACAGCTTCTGCATTAGCACGTCTATAGCGTGGTTGAAAGAAGTCAGTGGTTTGTGGGTGAAGTGTTTCTTTATTTTCTCTCCTGCTAAATATGAACCAAATGTATTTTCTTGTTTTTTTTTACTTCAACTCCTTACAAAACACATTTATAGTTAAATAAAATGAATCCATCAACAGTTGCTTAAAAGTTAAAATTCCAACAAGACATTGTTATCATGCATCATTGATGAACTACACAGCTGATCATCTCATTAGGAACTGATACAATCCGACACTCATTCAACTCTTCACTCTACTGCTGTTAGTTAAAAATAAAGGTGCTTCACGATGCTATAGAAGAACCTTTTTGTCTAAATGGTTCCATAAAGAACCTTTAACATCTGAAGAATCATTCTGTTTCACAAAAGGTTCTTTGTGGCGAAAAGAAGGTTCTTCAGATTATAAAAGTTAAGAAAGAGATGGTTCTTTAAAGAACCTTTGACCGAATGGTTCTTTGTGGAACCAAAAATGGTTCTTCTATGGCATCGCTTGAAGAACCTTTTGAAGCACCTTTATTTTTAAGAGTGTACAGGGCCAGAATTCACTTTAAAATATAATTAGATTGATAATTTTCATGACTTCCTGTTTTAAAGGAAATGGTCATGTGAGAATAAACTGTGACAGAGGTCTAGTCTTGTTGAGGGAAGACCACAAACACACAAAGCATCAGTTCAGACGTGTTTCAGAGATGTTAAGCACTGCTATCGTGGGAACCAATGAAGAAAATGTTTCTCCAATTAGTTTTGGTTTGTTTGTGTTTCTGGCGTCTGGATGGTGAGTTTGAAATGGTTTTATGGCTTCTGTTGCTTCTGTTCTGTTACCATGTAAGACTAATGTTATTTTGAAGCTTTAATCTATGACAATCTCTGTTTTTCAGGTGTGTTTGGTGTTGATGAAGTGAAGTCAGTGTCAGTGATGGAGGGAGATTCAGTCACTCTAAACTCTAGTCTGACTGAAATAATGGATGATGATGTGATTCAGTGGAGGTTTGGGATTGAAATCACTTTAATCGCTGAAATCAATAAACGAGCCGACAGCATGACTGTATATGATGATGTTCTTGGTGGGAGATTCAGACACAGACTGAAGCTGAACGATCAAACTGGATCTCTAACCATCACAAACATCAGAACTGAAGATACCGGACGTTATTTACTACTGATAAACCACATAAGCATAATTTTCAGTCTCATTGTCTTTGGTGAGTTAAATATATATCTCACCCCCC